GGTCCTGGCTAGGTAGCCCGGAGGTTGTAGATAAAGCTTCTGTGCTAGAAACCTTACATAATACCCGCTCTGCCCTGCATCGCAGGCTGGGGAGGGAGAGACTCGCTGCAGCCCTGGTTCGTCCCTGCTGCCTGCAGTTTCCTTTGCATCCAGGATTCATTGCCGTGCTGCACAAATTGTGCCCCTCCGCTCTCCTCGCCCCTCTCACTGCATCGCGACAGAGAAGCGTAAAGACCCGGTGGACGGACCCGTCTCCCCCTGCCCGTTCCTGCTGCCGCTGCACACAATACCCAGTCATTACGGCGGATAAAATGAGGCACCCAGGCGTGACGCTGCTGGCACGCACGCAGCCCACCGAAGGAACTGTATCCCTGCATCGGCTGGCAGGGCTGTTTATTAACTCACCGCTGGATTTAAATAGAAGAGCTGCTCCCAGGCCGGAGGCCTGCAGCCCTGGAGGCTCATATGATTCAGTGTGGTCCAATAAAAGAGATCACCCTAAAAAAGCCTTGCCTTGAGGCGTGCCACTTATTACAACAATACAATGAGTAACATGCAATGCTTTAAAAAGTCCAAATATGCTATCATCGTCTGCTCGGTGTGTGAGAGCAGTCCTACAGCTCCGGCGTGGCCAGAGATCTCCGAGAAAATTACCAAGAGGGAGAAAGTAGTGTCCGCTCTGCTTGTACAGGGGTGCAAGTGCCACAGGCAGTCCTAGACGAGGGTGGGAAGGGAGCTCAGGAGGTCACATCTAGTCCAGCCCCTGCTCCAAGCAGCACCAACCCCAACTACGTCATCCCAGCCAGGGTTTTGTCAAGCCAGGCAGAAAAACCTCCCAGGATGGAGACCCCAACACCTCACTGGGGAGCCTGTCCCAGTGCTTCACCACCCTCCTAGTGAGAAAGTGTTTCCTAATATCCAACCTCAACTTCCCTTGCTGCAGCTTGAGCCCATTGCTCCTTCTCCTGCCATCTGCCCGCACTGAGACCAGCCCAGCTCCATCCTCTTTGCAGCCCCCCTGCAGGGAGGTGAAGGCTGCTATTCAATCCCCCTCGGTCTTCTCTTCTGCAGACTAAACCAGCCCATTTCCCTCAGCCTCTCCTCCCCAGTCCTGTCCCCCAGCCCCACAACCATTTTCATTGCCCTCCGCTGGACTCTCTCCAATGTCTCCACATCCTTTCTGCAGTGGGGGGCCCACATCTGGATACAGGACTCCAGATGTGGCCTCCTCAGTGCAGAATAGAGGGGAAGAAACACTCTCCTAGATCTGCTGGCAACGCTCCTCCCAATGCAGCCCAGGATGCCTGTATCCTTCCTGGCACCATGGACACACTGCTGGCTCCTGTCCAGCTTCTTGTCCCCTGTCCCCCCAGGCCCTTTTCTGCAGAGCTGCTGCCCAGCCCGTCACCCCCAGCCTGCACCGATGCATGGCACTACATGGGGCCTGCAGTCCCCAGCAACACACTCCCTGCATCGGTGCTCAGGGCTGCGTTACAGTCATCTGCAGGGATCTCTTCCCCAAGCCCCCAAGACAGGCAGTCTCCTGGCTCCCAGCCCTGTGCCCTGTACTTGGAATCCCCTTCTCCTTCGCACTCATCAACCAGAGGTTTCAAAAGACCACTTATTTTTTTAAGGATGATTTCTTCATTTTTCCATCTTTCCTACGTTCCCCCAGAATTCTTGCTCTTGATGAAGACTGGAAACAAAGCAAAAATCGGAGAAAGAAATCTACCTGCGGTGCTTTGAACCCAAACCTGCAGGTTTGTTACTAAAAATTGTTTTGGATTTTTTTTTCTTCTTCCAGTTGTGGCTTCCACTTGCTGATCCAGAAAAAGAGGAGAATCTTCGACAAAAGGGGGTATGGGAGGAAACACTGCTGTTCTGAAGGAGAGGTCCCATGAGGTTAAACAGGCTTCGGTGCAAACACATCAGCAATCCCTGTCCCAGAGGAAGCTGTCTCCCAAAGACAAGGGGATGCCTGGCTGGAGACCCAGAAGGGGTCAGCTTTGTCCCTGCTTCTGCTACCTACCTGCCTTGCAGCCTTGGGCAAGTCATTTTGCTCCTTTTCTGCTACTGAGGTATAGAGGTTAAAGCCATGAGCTTGCAATGATCTGGCCCCCTGCACTGAGCCTGGGAGACTCCTGTGAGCCACGAGCCTGCCCCAAAGTCGGTGCTTCTCCTGGTACGCAGGTCTCAGGTAGCTCGGGTCCGTACCCTACCAGAGCATCGCTCACTGCTGCACAGCCATGTGCCCCATGCATGCCACCAGCCTACGCAGAAAAGGGGAGCATTATTCTCTCCAGCTGATGGAAACTGAGGCACAGAAGGACTAAAACAGCCACATCATACACCACATTTATCTGCACTCAAGTGGACTTAGCTGCTTAAATGCAACCCCATTCTCACCAGCCCCAGTCCCTGGAAATCCACTAACTTATCTAACCTCTGACATGCCACCACCTCAGCCCTAAGACTAAGGCACACAAAGCAGCAAGTGGGAGAGGGAACCATCCATCTGATGCATTAGCAAGGGGGTTGCAAAGAGGATGGAGCTGGGCTGGTCTCAGTGGGGGCAGATGACAGAAGAAAAAAAGCAATGGGCTCAAGCTGCAGCAAGGAAAGTTGAGGTTGGATATTAGAAAAAGCTTTCTCACTAGGAGGGTGGTGAAGCACTGGAACAGGCTCCCCAGAGAGGTGGTGCAGTCTCCATCCTTGGAGGTTTTGAAGACCTGGCTAGACAAAGCCTCCACTGGGATGATGTAGTTGGGGCTGGTCCTGCTTGGAGCAGGGGGATGGACTAGCTGTGACCTCCTGAGGTCCCTTCAACCCTCGTTTTCTAGGATTATGTGATTTCTGGGACTTGGGCAGGGTGGAACAAGATTGCACTTAGATGCCTGCATCCATCTTAGATGCCTAAAACGTGAGGTCGGATGCAGACCCAGAGTAACGCAGAGGCAAACTAGGCACATGCCTAGGGCCCTAAGTGAAGAAGAGGTACAGCTGTGCGTATTGTACATTTGATCATTATTCAGTGAGGAAAAGGAATATAAATATACAGTTTTAAGTAGGGGCTCACTAAAGGATTCGTCCAGCTTTGGTAAGATCTGACCCAGAGCCGGGATTAAAACTATAGAAATCCCATGTTAAGATAGACCCTCGACACTGCAGCCCCAGGATCCCTCTCTTAGCTGTAAGGATCCTTTAACTAGTCAGAGAGCCGCTTTCACACGCGGCATCTGACATAAACCCAGGGCTGTTCGTGACAGGGGGTTGAGCTCAAGGAGGGCAAAAGAGTTCAAAGATGTATCTCCCCCACGCTGCTCTCTTCCCCCTCGGCTCCTCATGCCCCAGCCCACGCGGAGGGTTTATCCCCTGCGTGCGATGCAAAGCAAAGGGAACACCTGTTCTCTTGTGAACACACATTTCCAGCGTGCCGCCTCTCTTCCCCGCCTGCGCGTGGATGCATTGTCTCGCGCTCAGAAACATCCCGGTGACAACAGCTTAAGGAGCAAAGGGCCTTGCACACACACCCACCACCTCCTAGAAATGCAAGCGCTCGGCAGCATGCTTTCCGACCCCGGAGATGAGAGTTGAAGGTCAATCGTTATCTCCCAAAGAGAAAGGCGTTTACATTTACGCCGGCGATGGCAGCGAGATGGGCAGTGCCGGGAGTAGGCTGGGCATTGGGGAATTTGCACCGAGAAACTTTAATTGCAGAAAGAAAAGCAGCTCCCGAGCTAACGGTCTGAGGGAGGAAACCAGTGGGGCTGGAAGGGATTGCAAAAATCTGGTATCGATGGAAACATCCCTCCTGACATTTCAGCGCAAGAAAATAAATATCTGGCTGCTGCTGTGAAGCATTCCCCGAATACCCCAGCATCGATCCGGCCAGACACTGCGAGCCCAGATGCTGATCCTCGCTGAAGACTTGAAGCCGAAGTCGAGCTGCCTGGTTTCATATTGGGATGCCAAGTGAGCAGAGGGGGAGAGAATAAAGTAGCCCCAAGTGGCGAGAAGTGGATTTAGAAACCCTGTTGTAATGCCTTTCGCTTGTCCCGTGAACCGCCGGATAAACCGTGGGACTCGCCACCCCGAGACACCGTCGGGGCTGACTTCTCCACCAGATGGGACGTTTCCACGGGGAGCGAGAATATACGCCATCCCTAAAGGGCTTCTTGGGGAACCTCTCCCTGGAGGTTGTCAGCAGCAGGACCCCGAGCAAGGCAATGAATAGGGTTGATCCAACTTTGCAATCCCATGTGCATGGCCTCGGGGGCAGCGGGAAGGGGATGTGCCCATCAAGGCAATCCCAGAGTCTCCTTGCTCAAACCCTGACGGTCTCACCCACCTGCTTCTTGTCCCCTCTCTTTATTCTCCTCCCTCTGCAGCACTAAAACCCCTGGGACCTTGCACCCCTTGCTCATGATGGCAAGCAGAGCCCAGATGAGCCCCTCGGGGGGACGTGGAGCCGTGCCCGTGTGTTAGTGCAGCGCCCGGTGCCTTTAGGGCGCCGACCTCATCTTAATGAGATACACAGATGCTAATTTGAAGGCCTCAGGCTCCCATGTCTGTTGGCAATGCATGGGTAAATCTAAGCGAGAACCAGGAGTCAGAAGATTATATCACGGCCACTGTCCTGAAATCCAACCTCAGGGTCATGTTGAGCACGGGGAGAGCTGGCCACCACCAAATAAATCAACCCTGGTTTAAATTCTTCATTTATAGCTTTTTTTCTCTGTCTCTCTGCTGTACTTTTCTGCCCCCAGCACTAATTATCCCCCCAGCAAAACCCTCTTACACTCCTGGGATGAAGCTAATAGATCCCATGTGATCGGACCTGACTGGGGATCAGCAAGAATAGCTCTGCCTCTCTGCGTAGGTGTAACTTAATATCCTGGCTACAGCTACAGAGATTAACACCTTTTTTTTTTGTATGTTGGAAGTAGACAAAAATATAGTTAAGTAACAAAGGGAAGGATTTAAAAGCAAACCACTCTTACCTCGTCAAACTTGGCTTCATCCTCGCAGTTCTCGATCACGCGGGTGTAGAAGGAGAGGCCTGGGCAAAGCAAAGAGGAGAGGAAAAGAGACGTGTTACTTTCCACGCAAGGAAAGAAATGTTAGCAGGGTGGGGAGGATGGCAGGAGCTGTCCTGAACCCCAAAGCACCATTGCAGGAGACCAGAGTTGGATGCAAACAGTTATGAGCCGTCGTCGGTGCTCTGACCACGGAGGGGCTGTGCAAGCATGTGTGGATACGGTGTATGAGCGAGTGTGCAGTGGGTGTGCATGCATGCGGGTGTGTTCCCAGCAAGGGTCTGGCGTGAGCGTGCAACTGTACAGACAGCCTGTCTACACAGGAGCACTCAAGGAAACGAATCTGAATTAATCCAATGGGTGAATTTGCAGGGGATTTATTACACAGCCATTCAGCAGTTGCTCAACTTTCACGGGACCTCAGCGTCACCGAGCTGAACTGAGTTTGGAAGTGAAGGATGCTGATTCTGGCCTGAAAGCATTGAGCACCCAGGGGCCAGGATGGGCAAGGGATTCACACACGCAGATTACAAACCCTAAAAGCAGAAGGTTGTCACATCGAGTCCAACCCCTCTGCGGCACTGCAAGCTACAGGGAATTGTATTCGAGGACTGGCACCAACAAAATGCAGCCACCTCTGGGGAGGAAACCAGCCCCAAATGCAGCCACCTCTGGGGGTGGCTCAAAGCAAGCGTTCACAATGCGGAGATCATCAGAGCCCAGAGAGATGACGGGGGGCATCTGGGCTCCTAAAGTGGAATTGCCAAGGCATGCTATGATGCCAGAGAAAGCAGGCTGGGTCCCCTGCTCCTCTCAAGTCTTGCAATCCATGGGGCTTAGCATAGCTAAAGCAGGCCAGGATTAAGTCTTCCAGCTGTGCGTGGCTTCCCATGCCACGTGACTAGATGCCTTTGGCAGATGTGCCCACGCACCGACCTTTCACATTGGTGCAGTGCAGGGTGTGAAATCCATGCCCCGGGGAAATGCCTTCCCCACCCTGCCACCAAACCCACAGCCCCTGCTAGGAGCGATGCTGCGACCGTCTGGAGGTGCCCTATCCCACCTCGGGCACAAGGCACTGAACAAAGTCTTCCTGAATGGTTGCAAAAGAGGAATAAGAGAGACACGGTGGATGCGGACAGAGGGAAGGAAGCAATGAGATGGTGCCTGACAAAGCCGGTTGCACAGAACGGCATCCTCTCTGCTGGGCTGAGATATCAGGAGCAGACACCTCTCTCTGCTTTAGCCAGCAGGCCAAGGTCCCATGCCCCCCCGGGCTTTCTACTTGGAAGGCAAATCTTCCGCAGAGCCCTGGGGTATTCCTGGTACCGAGTTTGGGTGCAAAAAGCAGTGCAAAAGCAGTGCTCACTTCCTAAGGGCTGCAGACCTCCAGTGGGGAACGGGACCAGGGCTGGGCTCAGGAGAGGACGATGCGCATGCCATGCCCAAGCCCGCCGACACCGAATCGTGGCTGCATGTACAAACCAGGCACCCCTCCAGAGACACAACACTCACCTACGTGCATTGCACACCCAAGGGCCAGAGATTCAGGCATCCCTCCAAAAGCATTGCCCTGGGCAGGTTTTCCCTCCTTTGCAAACACAAGCCTCATTTCTCATGTGAACGTGCCGGCTTCCCCTTCCAGCGATAAAAGCACAGTGCCGGACAGGAGGAGACAGGGACGGACAGAGATGGATAAGACCAAGGGGCCAGAGAGACCTGCTTCCAGAGGAGGACAGTGCCCCACGCTTCAGAGAAACCCCCCCGGTAATCAAGGCTGGACCAGCTCGGGATCTGCATATGCCAGTTTTTTGCACAACAGACGAATTAAACACAAACAAAATGGGGAAAAAAGTGATTTTTTCCCCCCTAACTGAAGCCAACAACTCATTAGTTTTTACCCGTCTAAAAACAATCATTTGGCTGACCTACAAAACCCTCTCCCAAAGCAGAATCAGAGCGTTGAGCTCTGAATAAGATGAAATGTCACTTTTTTGATTCTTGGGAGGAAAAGGAAAGCTCACTTTACAGTCAAAAGCAATCAGCAGATTCAGCCCACATTGAGAAGCAGAGAAATATCCGTCTCATCCTAAGAGCAGCCTGAAAAGTCCCCCTCCTACCTACACCTAGGTTAGAGATATCCCAAAAATCAAATCCGAAAGATGCTGGGCTGCAAGAGTCACATCCAACGCAACCCCTGCTTGAAGCAGGAGCAGCCCTGTGCAAACCAGCCCAGACAACCATCATCTAATAAACACTACATCAGCCGACCGTCAGCTCCGACACGCGCAGACTTCACACCCGAACCTGCCACAGGTAAAGCAGGGCCGCCAGTGTTCAGACAGCATGTGTCCCTGCTCCCGAGGACAGGGTCCTTTGCTTCCTCGAGACCTTAACACCCTGCAGAGATGTCCCTCCCCATAGAAATACCCCCTTCTGATTCTTGCCCCGTTCTTTTCTGCAACTATATCTTGCGGCCGTGATTTCCCCGGGGTAACTGCATCCTGTGGACCTGAAGCCTGGGTCTTTGTACCCTCCAAAGGGGTATTTACCCAAGAGCCAAGGGGGTAGCGAGGCTGCCACTGCCTCGTGCAGACGCACGTGGAGCTGAAGCAATAATCTGCTATGAACGTGGGTCTCAGAGCATTTTCTCTCTCTGATTTGATCTGTCGTTCGGCATTTCCAAACATGCCGTTACCCAGCTGCAGTTTACCCAAGCAGAAGGCAGCCCCTTATCAGCCAGGAGGCAAAATCAGGCATTACTTATACCAGTGATGATGACAGCCAGGAAGGAGATATATATATATATATATATATATATATATCTCCTTCCTGGCTGTCATCATCACTGGTAGATTCCCCCAACATCCAGCAGCTTTGATTTTTGTGGGTCTACAAACACGCGTCACCGTGAGTCCCTGGGGGGAGAAGCGGAGGAAGGCAAACAGTGAGCACGGAGAGCGCTGGAGGACACGGAGAAAGGATCATCTTTTGCAAAACATCTCAGAGGAGCTGAGCAGGCGGGCCCGCAGCGCCCTTTCTTCCAGCAACGATCGGCTCGTTTATCGGTGGGAGATGCTGCAGAGGGCTTGTACGTCCACGGACGGGGTCACGTTTCTAGCACTTGGGGTCAAACACTGATCAGAGAGGGGTGTCTGGGAGAGGGAGCGAAGGCTGCTATCAAATCCCCCCTCCGTCTTCTCTTTTCTGCTCTAGACTAAGTCACTTCCATGCATCTGGGCCGTGGATGTGCCTTATATTGGGATCCAAAACGGACAGGCAGGCAGCCCTTCTCCGGGAGCTACAAGCTGCCATCTAAGCCTCACAATAGTAAAGGAGAGGACAGAAACCTGTCACCCCAACTATGTCACGACATCCCACGGTCCTCAAGTGCTACATGGTCACGTCACCCCTGATGGAGCAACGTGGGCGTGAGGCTGCAGCTGGGAGAGTCCCCTTTACTGCAACCGAGAGGGGGCTTTGACCCAGATTTCTGCCTACAGTCACAGGCGTTCAGAGGCTTTGAGGTGTCGACACAGTCAGGGGTCTCCGGAGGAATGGGTGCACACACAAAAAACCTCTGACCATGAGGCCACTCGTGTAGCACGTAATCACCTGCATCCATGTACAGGTAGCCACAGGACGGAGATCAGAGGAGCATGTCCATGTTCCTGAAGGTTACTAAGGGCTACCAGTAACTCCCGGGGTGCTCGGGTACCAAGAGGGCGAATGAAGTGTAGTTGCCTAAACAGGCCCAAAGACTCATGAGTTCAACCAGCCCCACAGGGTGCGTCTACACATGCACTTTAATGTGCATTACCCTATCTTAATGCACATTAAAGTGTCACAAAGAACCACAGGTGCATCTACACATGCATTAAGGCACTTCAATTAATGCGCATTCAATCTACTGCCTCCATTGCGAGGTACTCGGAAAATGTGCATTAGCCTATATTAATGCACTCCTTTACTCCCCTCTGCTCTGGTCCCGGGATAAAATCCCACCGAGGTGCAGGTGTATCACTGGCGTGGTCAGGCAGCACAGGTGATTTATATTTGGACAGCAAATCCCTTTCCCCATAGGAGCATTATGCTGCTAAAAGCATATTTTTTAATTGCATCTGCCCTGGTGAGATGAGGTCGCGCCACTTCAGTGACGCTGCCGAGGTCTCGGTGGATGCAGCTGTGTGTGGACAAAGCCAGGCAGAGTCCCAGGTCTCCTGCGGATGCGTTGTCCCAAGCAACTTGGTCCAGGACACGCGTGTCCTGTCTACACACTGCTGGGAGAGGACAGAAAGGGGGACCTCGTGATCCCGATTCCTGACTCCCAGGCCTGTGATCCAATCACTGGGACACGTCTGTATGCAACCCCACCTGGTATTTGCACTGGTACCAGCTAGGCTGCTAGCAGCACGTTGTGATCGGAGAACCGGCCGGTTGTGACACAGGATTACAACTTTACCGCAGCAAGTCTAGCGCTCCGGGGTCCCCGGAGTCTAACGAGGGGTGCTTGGAGTCTAACGAGGCTGAAAGCTCCTAATTCACGTCCTGCCGGGGCTGACTCGACCCTGGCTTTCCCCACCGCGTGGGGCCCCGTCATTTAGGCGTGTGTCGTGAAGATCCCACAGGGATGGGCTTGATTTTCCCCAGATAAAATTTCCCACAGAGTCGCAGCACACAGGACCGCAGGGGGTCCCAGGCCATCCAGCCCGGCCCCTACCCCAGTGCTGACCCCCCTTGCTCTGCCCCAAAGCCGGATGCCCCTTGCCCTGAGACCCTTGGCCCCTGGCTGCACCCATTTCACAGGTGGGGAAAACCCGAGGCAGCCCCTGAAGCCCGTAGATCCTTTGACCCTGCCTGTGTCCATTTCACAGGTGGGGAAAACCACGGTGCCCCGTGAAGTCCATAAACCCATTGCCCCTGCCTGCCTCCATTTCACAGGTGGGGAAAACTAAGATGCCCCGTGAAGTCCATAAACCCATTGCCCCTGCTTGCCTCCATTTAATGGGTGTGGAAAACTGAGATATCCCATGAAGTTTGTAAACCCATTGCCCCTGCATGCACCCCTTTCACAGGTGGGGAAATCAAGGCAGTCCATGAAACCCATCAACCCATTGCCCCTGCCTGCACCCCTTTCACAGGTGAGGAAAACCGAAGTGCTCCACGAAGCCCTTTGCCCCTGCATGCACCCCTTCCACAGGTGGGGAAACTGAGGTGCTCCCTGAAGCCCATGCAACCTTTGCCCCTGCCTGCACCCCTTTGACAAGGGGGGGGGGGACCGAGGCACCCCACAAAGCCCTTCGCCCCTTCCCCCTGCCTGCACCCACTCCACATACGGGGAAACCAGGGAGTGCCCCGAAGCCCCCAAACCTTACCTGCATCCATTTCACAGGTGGGGAAAACCGAGGCACCTCCCGAAGCCCACAGACCCTTTGCCCCTGCTTGCACCCTTTTCACCCAAAGCCGCTGCATCCCTCTCGCCGCAGCCCCGTTGCAGGACACCGCAGCCCTGCGCCCCCCTGGCTGCGCCCATTTCGCGGGTGCGGCAAACCGAGGAAGCCCCCGCAGCCCCTACCTCTGAA